AGCTCACATTTTATAATGAAGAAGTGAGCTCATGCTATATAATTGTGGGCTATCCCCAAGAATATTTTATTCAGCGTTATTGTCAGACTAAATTAAAACCGCCAAAGAGCCCAATTTCTTAAGATGCCAGGTGCTCTCAACTCCCACAGCAGTTAATGGAAGACAACTCAGCAGTTTTAGAATTAGTCCCAAAATGCTGATAGTGATGCTCAAATTTTCATATTAAGCAAGATAATTTGCAGAGCTGTTGTTCTTCTACTCTTATTTTTCTTTGTGAGTATTCATTGTGAAAAGTATTATTTATTCTATTTATTCTATCAATTTATTATGTTTATGTGAGCTATTGCCATATCCTTTCAAATGACTTTTGGTTTACTTTTCCTCTGTAAATATAAAACAAGCAATAATGTCTTTTCATTGAAAATTACTTATTGATGAATTTGAAGCTGCTGTTGATCACAGACAGTGACACATGTCTAGCACTAGATGATTGTTTGCATGCCTTCTCACCAAACACAGTGGAATTTTTGTCCTCATCTCCCTGAGGTGTTCTGCAAGGAAAAGTGCTCTAAGCTTAGAGGACCAAGAGAGCAGATGAAAAGAGAAAGGAAAAGCTCTTTGAGGTAATCAGTGAACTACCACCTTCTTTCACTGGCTGAATCACCACATCATTCCATGCACTCCTCCAGGCATTACTGAGCAGCCTGGGAAGACTGGGAAGGGAGGGAAGATTAGTCCATACAGCCATCCTTCCACTTGGCATTTTACAATGCAGTAGGAAAATGCAGACTAGGAAAGCCAAACCTTGTGTAGTATTGGAATAGCAAAAACAGTTGAAAGTCAAACATCCATCACTAATGTGTACAAAGTCAGGCAAAACCCTTGCTCAGACTGTGGGTCAATTAGTCCTTTTCCTCCCTTGGTCCAAAGTGTTATCGCCACAGAGGATAATGAGTTAATGCCAAGTATGGTACTCTGGAAATGAAAGGTCATGGAACAAGAGTTAAAAAAAAGGGTTCCAAATAAGATAAGTCTTTCAACACTGTTTTCTAGGTATTCTGTTAAATATCCCACTGGGAGGCTTCTCTTCATCAAACTAAGCCACATTTCTTTGGACTCTCTTCTCTGAGTGATTTCAAATATATAAAGAATTTAGATGAAAAACAGATCTGTATTTTTTCATTGTTTAAAACATGGTAGTAAATGTTCACTTCTCAGAAGAGTGATAGTGATTTTATTTATAGAAATTCCCAAAGTGACAGTTACAGAAATAATCTGTGGAGAACAAGTTGCAGAAGACTTTTTCCCTCAGTCAGATCATATCCTTGCTTTCCAATGCTGTGTAATAATCTCCATGAAAAGAACCTTTATTATATAGCTCTGATCATTGTTTTCACTTCTAAGAGCAAACACTGAACATGAAGTTGGGGAAAATAATAGCCTCCTAATAGGATTGTTATAAAGAAGATGGTCTCACTGTTCCCCGGGGTCATTGAGAGAAGAAATTAGACTGATTTGCAGCCAAGAAAGATGTAAGTTGTATATCCGTTGGGAAAGCAGAAAAAATACAGATAGTGAAAGAATGAGACTATGAATCTACCTCAAGAGGTTTTGGATTTTTCTGCCAATGGATGAATTCAGGAACAGAGGATAAATGAAGATGTGCAGGATATCTCGGGTATGTGGTTGACCAATTTGCCCATATTGCCACATGGATCTGGGGGAGACTGTGAAAAGTGAGATTATATTCATTATGCAGTAGCCTGTTTTAGGGAACTTTAAAGGGGCTGCATCTGCCCTGGAAAAGAGCATGCCAATAAGTGCTTGATCCTCCATCAGGGCACAATGTGGAGTAGATGACATCAAAGTCCCTTCAGTTCTGACCCTATAGTTCTATAGTAGTCTATAGTACAGTCACTCTCTGAAGTAAGTTATCAGAAATTCTTGGATATGTGTGCATTGGTAATCCACATGAGTTACTAAAACACAGCCAAATATTTAGATCATTCCTAGATTGCTAAATGCTATTTAGCAATAGTGTTTCAGAATGCAATCTTCAGGTACCCTGGAAAATGGAATTTTTGAAAAAGGTTCTAGTCACATTTTTTGTTTGCATTGGTAGTATGAAGTTTTTTACATTAAATGATTTAACTTATTACCTTCCAGAGCTTATGTTAATCATGTGTACTTTTAAACAATTTAAACAATTTCAAAGCAGAACAGACTGCTTTTAAACAATTTCAAAGCAGAACAGACTGCTTAACAATCCTTACTAAACTCATGGTCTAGCTCTAGCTGAAAGAAGAGCAAAAGCACCACACACTTAAATTGGCATATATAAATAAGCCAAATATTATGACGAATAGAAGCTCTCCTGATTCAGCAAAGCACTTAAACAGATACTTTAAACTCCAGTTTTAATTCCTAATAAAAGAGGTTTGAAATTAAAAGGAGAGAAAGCATAAATCTGTGGTAAAAAGAGACTTAACAATAGAGGATCGCATCACTCCTTTCTGGTGATCAATTAAAAATCTGCACATTTGTAATAATTCTGATACTGTAACTGTTAAGAAGTTGAGGAAATTAATAACTGAAGTTCTCCTAGGAACCTTGGTTCTGTCTCTGGCCCCTACATGTGTATGCTTCAGTGTTTCCCATAACATGCTTAGCTGGGAAAGAGATCAATACTTTTTCTGCAGAGAAACTAGAACTTTGCTCTAAACCATTACTGCCTTAAAACACAGATGCTATTGATGTGTACACATATCACTTTCCTATTAATATGTCCTTTGCTCCTACTTAAGAGAATAAACCAGTATCATTATGGCCTATGATGGCACACTTGGGCACAGTGCAGAGGGCTGCAGCCTAGCTTTGATGACCTTGGGATGGCTAACATGGGACTTAAAAATGTAAGAGCAATGATACAAGATACCAGAAGTGGCATGGCCGTGTCTTCAGGCCAAATTGGCTTTTAGGGCTGGAGTAAAGCAGTGAAAACATGCATGGGATAAAGACAAGGAAAAAAGAAGGAAGGAAGAATGAAAAGCTGGAACAGGTGCCACAGATCAGAGGTGCAAGAGGTCACAACATGAACGGCACAAGAGAGAAACTTGAGTAAAACCAACTGTGGCACAGTATCGTGGCCCACAGGTTTGAAACCCAGCTCTGGAGAGAAAAACCAAAGAAATATTCAGAAGAGGCAGGGATGTATAACATGACTGGAACAAGCTTTTGAGTGAGCTGCTGTCAAGTGTTGCCAGCCTGCTATTATAGCAAATGAATCCATGTGTTTCTTTTGTCCTCAGAAACAGTTGTTTGAATTTTCATCAGCTTCAGCACATGGCACCACACACATGCATGCCCACACATGTCCTTTCTGAACTAAAAGGAAGTAAGAGCAATGTCATCCCTCCAGTGTCCCTTTTAAAAAGTTTTAAACCACTTAAATTAGGTTCCTAAACTAGAAAGCAGTCTCAAGTGTAGAGTTGGTAGAAGAAAGGTAGCATGCAGTGCATTCACACAAGATAAATAATTGAATAATTGCTAGGTTGGAAATGTATCCAAAGAAGCCAGGAATTATTACAGAATTCTTTTTTCTTTTGCTTACACAAACTTTATAATAGCTGTTTTCTCTGACTGTCCTTTTACATAAACTGGGAACAGCCTCTGGGCTGCTCTCAAATTTACTTTGGCTTCTCCAATAGCACTTAAGAATTACTGGAATTGTGCAGTCCCTGGCCATGCCTCCAGTACTGTCAGAGGCCAGGGCACAGAGCCATCCCCATCCCCATCCCCAGTGAAGCTGCTGCCTCCACACCTGTTGTGTCACTGCCTGCTCCCACCTGGGAGGCCGTGCACTGGGCAGAACTGTTTGCACAAAGCCCTTGCTCCCATGGAACAAGCAACTTCATCCTTGGCTATTCAATCACATATGGAGGGCTTGTGGGGTTTTTTATCATCATGATATGTAAATCAAATGTTAAAAAGATTTTCAGAGAATTGAAAATATTTCAGCAATGAGAAACTGTGAAAAATGTGAAAGGACACTATTTTCCCTGTATGTTTCATTTCAGATAGCAGGATTGGGCCATGCATGGCATGATGCCTCTCGCCCAGAGACATCACCGTGTATGCGTAAGGGCAGAGCAGTCTGCAGGCACACTGAATATTACAGTCTCAACACCTTGAAAGGAACATGTTCTCTAAATTTGAGTACTGCAATTAAAAAAAAAAAAAAAAAAAAAAAAAAAAAAAAAAAAAAAAANAAAAAAAAAAAAAAAAAAAAAAAAAAAAAAAAAAAAAAAAAAAAAAAAAAAAAAAAAAAAAAAAAAAAAAAAAAAAAAAAAAAAAAAAAGAAAATAGAATTACCCTGCGGTAAAGTGCTTTAGGTTCAGAGTGCTCCAATGAAAAGACAGCAAATGGGAAAATTCTCTCATCCAGATGTGGGTATGTAAACATATTTTAAACTAAGTATACACGTTTACATACAATGCATCCACTGTTTATGCTGATTTTAAAACACTATATGTAATGAAAATTATGCAAATATTTAGAAAAATACCTTAGCCTGGGTAAGGTATATACCACACTTAATATTTCAGTAAGGGCACATGCAGTGCTTGTATGGCAGTGCCAAAAGTAACATTTTGAAAAATGACCTTTTGGTAAAACTGTCAGGCACAGTGTTGAGTCCAGGTACCCGCCAACAGAAACCTTTGGGAGGATGTCACTGCGAGAGGTGGACCAGTGCCGGGGTCTCTATCTGGATTAACCAGAGAACTTGTAAAAAAATTAACATCAGCGCAGTATTTATGGGCTTCCTAGTCAGTAATCTGCTGGACTCCCAACAGCTATTTTAAGCTCTTTCCCGTTTTGGGCAAGGCAGTTTCACTTGTATAAAAGAGACGGGCAGGTGCCCTTAAGTCTGTCATTAAAGGGCTCTGGGCCGTCGCTGAATGGTCCACGCCCCGCGCAGCAACTCAGCGCCGCTGCCCCGCTCCGGCCCGCCGCTGGGCGGGAGGAGCCGCCCCTGCGCCTCGCCGGCTCTCGCAGTATTTGCCGGTTACCTGCAAATCGCAGACCGCCGAGTCCTGAAAGCCCGAGCGCTCCTTAACAACGCGTAAATAATGGAGGACAGACGGGATGAATGAGCACAGCGGGCGGAGAGAGGGCTGAGCCTCACCCCTGACGGATCGGGGCGCCGAAGAGGTGAGGGGAGAGAGGGTTTGGGTGAAAAATTATTAGCTTTAAAGCACACCTCGGAGCTGACCGTGCTCGGGGGACAGGGGGTTGCTCACCCGAGGGCTTCACCGGGACCCTATCAGGGTGTACAGAGGGCCTCCCGGTCTGCCCGCAACGCCCCCACCCCCGCAAAAAAAAAAAAAAAAAAAAAAAAAAAAAAAGGTGGGGAGGAGCCCTTTATTGTTATTGTGGTTGTTCCCGGCCTCCCTGCCCGCTTCCCGCCGGTGCTCCGCGGTGCCAGGATTTCTCTGCAGCCCGCCCTCCCCGTCCGCAGCGCCGCCGGCAGCGCCGCCTCCCCGCGGCAGCCGCTCGCCGCCCGCGGCCCCGCGCCGCGCCCCCGGCACCCGGAGCGCCGCCGCCCGCGCACTGACAGAAGCTCACAGGTGCCGCCGCGCTCGGCCCGAGTCGCGGAGGGGCGGCCCCGCTGCCCTCTCGGCTCCGCACCGGCGGGAGGGAGATAGCTCGGGAGGGAGGAGCGGCGCGGGAACAGCGGCAGCGCCGTAAGTGGGGGAGCGGGGAGTGGGGCGCGGAGCGGGAGGGCCGCCACCGCCGGGCTGCGGCACTGCCCCTGCTGACCTGCGGAGCGGCGGCGGGGCCGCAGCGCGGCCGCTCGGGGGGCTGGGAGGGAGGGTACGCATTTCAGGATAGCCATAGAGAGTACCCATGAATGATCTTGTTTGGCTGCTCGGGAGGTTTCCGAGCTATCGCTTAGAACGACTCGGGGTGTAATACAGTAATACATTACTGAAATTCCGAGCTGCAGTTCGTCTCTGTATCGGTTTAAATTTCCATCACAGTGTGTTTTGGCATACCTGATTTTATGCCCTTGCCTTGGAGGCAGAAGGCATACCCAGCCTACATCCCCCCCGAAACAGGCTGCGCTCCTTTTTGTGCGGTGTGTCGCCTTGCGCCGCGCCTTCCTGCGTGGGGCTAAGAATAACCGTGCACTGAGTGCGCTGCTCCCTGCCTGGCTGGGGCTGGACTGGGGGCAAGTCAGTACCCGGTGTGATGCTGGCTGTCGAGCTAAGAGTTCAAGTCGGGAACTCAAATTTGAGAATTTGAGTTGGGCTGCTGATGAAGAAATGCGGGCTGTAGATAATAGAAAGGACTTGATTTATTTTCAGTTGAAATTTATAAGAGACCAAAATAGAGTAAGCAATTAATTTAGGACTTGCGTCACTGTAGATTGTTGCTATGTTTTAAACATAGGAGGAAGAAGGCTTATTATGAAATATTTAATGTAACAAGTACGATCCTGAACTCTTAATTTCCTGTGAAAAATATCTGGGAGGAGAGGCAAGGACTCGTGCATAGACCATTAATTTCAGTTATATATAGGTTGTAAGGATGTAACATTGTTCAGGAAAATGTAGATGAAAAAAATCATAAGGTTTAAGGTGTGAAAATCTTAAGCTGAAAAATTCTTTAGATACACACTACTAGAAATCTTGTAATCCATGTTCCACGGCTCAGATGTTTAGAGGAATGACAGAGATACCAAAAAAGGCATCATGATAGCGCAATTCTAGAACCAGAATTTTCTCGTTCCCTACAAAAAAGGAAAGCTCATTTCTGGAAGCAAGAAGTGACAGATGTGGCATCTTGGCAGCTGGCTAAACATAAAAGCAAGTATCAGCAAGTGATTACTGTTGCAAGGATTTATTTTTAAAGTGTCTTGTACTGAAAGGCTTCAGCGTTTTTTAGCATTAGCAGTAAGATGTACTTACAATCTGCAGTATGTTACAAATAGTCTTTCAGCAGAAACATTCGGAAAAGCAAGAGAAAACTCCTATGTTCGAGGCACTCCATGCTTTGAACATTTGTTTTCCATTAGAGCATGCAAAAGAAAGGAACTGAGCAGGTTCTTTGGTCGGTACGATAGTACTGAAGGGAATGATTTTTCCTGGCCTCAGCATAAGCCAGCTGTATCTGGGAAGGAAACAATAGGGTTTATCTTCTCCTTAGATGAAAGGTAATCACAGTTACTGTTGTTTAGGGAGCACCTTGTACATCCACAGAAGTAAAAACCAGGCTGCAAAACTGCCTCTGCCCCTCTTCTATGATTCGTAAAGCCAACCTGAATCACCAGGAGGTGGCCTGGATGAATTTTAGAAAAGAGATATCACCTAAGAGGCAGCCCAGAGCCACTCTTTCCCTGAGGCAGCGGCAGCGTGGGTCTGCACCATCCCTATTTGACTGCTGTGGTTAGATGTCACATTGACTTGAAAGAGGCATCTAAAACTGTTCCAAACCACTTGTATCAGCTTTACTGTAACCAACAAAAGCCATGGTTCATTGCAGAACATGCTTTGCTCTCAGCTTTTCATAATTAGGGAGGTTGCTTTGTTTTATAGTCTTCTGACCTAGATGGCTTCTTCTAGAAGAAATTCTGGTCCTCTGCCCAAGTTTTAACAAATAGTTTGGGGAAGAAAAAGGAACTTGCATTTAAAATAATTTCTTTCTGTCATGCAGAATTTGTTGTCAGGTTCTCCTTTACTTCTTGCCTGTGAGACTGTGCGTGTCTCAGGCACTCAGCAATGCTCTCTGACCAATTCTTCCTCCTCTTCCTCACCCTAGTTAACAGAATTGCTGTGTCACCTGATGCCTGTTTGGCCTTTCATAATGATGTGTAAACCACTACAGGCTTTCACTTTCCTGCATGCAAATTTTACTTTTTGGAAACAAAATAGTAAAACAATCACTTTTTCTTTTTTTTTTTTCCCTCTTATGATCACATCAGAGTAAATATATTTTCTCAAGATCTGAACCATCTCATGGAGAACTCTCCTTCCTCCAGTGGTAAAACTGAACTAATTGGGTGGTCTGTACCTAAAAGCCGAAGTATCTCCAGGAGTACAGTGCTTACAGGGAAGGCAGTTGGCTAAAGATGTTTGCTTGTGTGATAGCAAGGTGAATTTCCCTAATAACCTGAAGTCTGAACTTAAACGAGGATGTTGGAAGAATTGTGTTCGGCTGTTGGGTAGAGGACTGTTTTTAAATGATTTCCTCTCACTAAGAAGCAGACGGGTTAGTAGGCAGTGAAAGCGCCTCGGGGGTGCTAGGGGATATGTCTGGGTGCAGCAGTGAGAGCAGAGTCCTGGCTCTTCTGCCGAGTTCAGTACATCCTGTGTGAAGCAGGACGGCAGAATAAGGTGCAGCTACTCATTAGCTCAAGTAAAGCTCATTCTGAAGAAAAGACACACTTCTAGTGCTGTGTTAAAATAAGAAAGATTTCTGGTTGACACATTCATGCAGATAAGCATTACTTACAATATTTTCCAATATTTACACTCGTAATTGACATTCCTAGTGTTATTGAGCAATGGTGTTGATCCAGTATGGTGACTGCCAGAAAGGTGAGTCTGATGGGAGCAGCTGGAACTGGCTGACAAGACTAATTTCCTCATAGTTCAAGGGTTAAATCAAGACCCAGTAAAGCCTCAGGAAGCACACTGCCAAGGTAAAATGGGATGATTACAAGAGGACAGAGTTGGCCAGGGTGGCAAGATGTATTTATACCTTTATTTAGTTTCATTGTTATTTGTGGAATAAATACTCAAGTATAGAAACAAATACTTGCCTTATGGTTTTACCACTAGTCAAGTCTACAAGAGCATTGTTAGTCAGTTAGCCAATAATCTTTCTAATTGTGAGATTTTTCTTTTGAGAGGCTAGTGAACTGACTGAATGTATTTTACTCCTTTTTGTGCTGTGCTTTTGTTTTTTAAAGAGGAAAGGTAAGCCATTTGCAGGCCATTTACAGGCTGAGCCTACAGCCAAGTAGCACTTTTAGTGCCTAAAACTCTGAAAATGTGAGAGTCGTTTTTGAATGCTCATACTAAATTGTATCACCATGATCTTAGTAGCTTTTAATTCAAGACCATTTTACTGAAATGTATATTTAGTACAAGTAATTTGAATTACAGTTATTCTTATCTTTGAAATTAGCAGTGTTGCAATACTCTTAAAACTTGATGACCTAGTGTCTCATGAATGTCAGGGAGCCACATTAAGGCTTTCATCCCCCACTATGTGTGGTATAGCAACAACATACAACTTAACTATGTAAATGTTGTGTTCATGCTGTTTTTACTTGCACGGAATAATAGAGAAAAGCTCACCAAATATGATACACTGCTTTGATTTCTATCATAAAGGTCAACGGGGAACATATTAGATAAGAAATTAGAAATTAAATGGACTGATACTGTTGAGGTTTTGTGCTGGGTCCCATTCTGAACGACCTAAGTGAACTTTTCTGTGATTACATGTAAACAGCAGCTGACCTTCTGTAGAGATACAAGAGCTGATGACAAGCTGAGACTAGGTATGACTTGCTTAATCAGGTCTGCAAGCTTGCTTAGGTGCATTTACATGGCAATTATTTTTTTTTCAGTCATCTGTAGGAACTTTCTAAAAATAAATACTACTTCATATCTTTGCTTGGAAGATAAAATGTAGGGCTTGGTGTATTTTTTTCCATCCCTTTGAAATACCAGGTGTTTCAAGTCCATTTCTTGCTATTTTGCTGCAGAAGCTTCATATATATCTGAGGATTTGTGTTGTGCCTTAAACAAAGGAAACAGGTGTTGAGTCTTCATGCCAAATGTGGGATTCTTTTCTTTATCAATATTAGGCACTAGAATAAAAATAGTAAATAAAAGCAAACTGTTAGTCTGAAATTTCCTTTTTTTTCTCCGCTGCTAAGAAATGTATGTAGTATAACATTCAAGTCAGGCAAACCTAAAACTGTAAAGCCTGTTCTGGCAAAAGCAAATATCCATAAGTTGGCAAAAGCCTGTAGAACATGGTGATACATATATAAGTGCATTAAGGTCATGCTATTTTTCATAGCCCCCTTGCCTTATGTAGTATGTAGGGTGAATTATGTGAGCAAAAAGAGGATCTGCTAGAAATTCTGGGCTAAAGCTGAAGCCCCTGCTCTGTCATAGTCGTTCTGGGTGGTG